TTCAAGACATATTCATGGAGTCCAGGCCATAAACAAGCTCATATTCCTATTGAGAACCCTTTTGGAACGCGTTTGAACTTATCCGCATTGAAGATCTAGAATAAACGGGGAGTGTCCGTGAATATTAATCATATATCTCAATTAATTGAGGTAATAAGGAATGGATATCCCAGGTACTCCACGGAACCTTTGTGCTGTAATCAGTACTGTCATAGGAACATCAACGTCTGTACGAGAGCGAAAGCGACATGCATTATATATGAGAATTTTCGTATTTGCATGACATTTCTATCATTTTCTGATGGGAGCGTTTTTACTTACGGAGGAGGAGAGCAATTTTACTCCTTGGTGATGGAGCAAATTCGCTCCTTTCCCAGAGTGAAAGGGGGGTGAAACTGGAGTTACAGATTCTGTTCCTTGCTGGTTGGAGCCAGAAGGGACGTATAAAAATAGCAAGGCCGAAATCGGATTGTGGGCGTGCAGAGGGTTGGAGCCTGAGCAACCCCTTCCGGTTTCGTTGTTTAGCCGTGATTGAAAAATCACGAGACCCCGCGAAAGTGCTGCATCGAGGGGGTGAGCTGAATAATTTTCTTGTTTGTAGAAATTCTTTCATTTTTGTTCATTCACCTTTAAAAGCGAAAGCCGTGTCGATTGCCAAGTTGTGCTGAGGAGGATTTTGTACAAATCTCATTTTTGGTTCTTTGTCAATACAATAGAATAAACGAAATCCTGTGAAAACCCAGTCTGTTGGAATCATTGTCTAACGGCCACTGATTCCGTCCGACCAATACGAACCATCCCAAAGGGACAAATTTCTAATATCCTTTTTTTCATTTTTAACTTTCTTGTTTCGCGATGGTCAAGGTAGTTTACTGGTAGCTATTAAATAAAGTACATAGACGTACGAGTAGTACTACCGGCGACGCCAGACGACCGCGAGCGTTACACTTCGTTCTGGTGTCATTTTAATCATAAAACTGCCATTTTTATTTTTTAAGACACCTTTAAGACTACTTCAAGGCTTAAACAAGAAGTTCCACTTGATCAAACAGTTCCATCAATTTCAGTGGCCGATATCTACACTTGCCACCATTGGGACTCCTACGTCCAATACCTGATTCCAAGTGTAATTTATGCCCTTTCTAACAACACCAAATTCGAGATTGACACTCAATTGCCTCATGGGACGTAACCCTTTGACGGGAAGAAGAACTGTGCACAGATAGTTGCGTCTGGGAATCATTGGAACGTCGCTACATTCTAATGATTCCTTGTGATATGTGAAACTTGAATGAAATTCTAGGTATGAATCTCCCTCGTTTCTAATTCTCGCATGGGATTTCCTGAAGAAACCTGAATTCGGATCGCCTAATCAAATTCAAATAATTTCCTATGCATTTTAAAATAAATTGAATAATACAACCCGAACTCACCCATCATTGTAATTTTTTTTTCAGCAGAGCATCGACTTGACCATGACCACCGCCATGACCACCATGACCACTTCCACCATGATGTCCAACATGTCCACTGCCTCCAAAGAATCCTCCTCGCTGCCCGTCTAATAAGGCGATAATGTTACGACGCCCTTGCTTAGGCAAACACAGGCCAATAGAGAAGAAGGGCGACCGCGAGGAGCATGTAGAGATGTTGGCGGGTCACGGCAGGGTATGCTTCCATATTCTGCATTACTGCTCCAATGACCCGGTCCATGGAGGAAGGACCACCTAAAACGGTTTCATGGAGTATGGTGTTTTACTAAGACCCATTCCCAATAGCCATTTTCCGCCATTATCATAAATTGAAGTATTGGATCCATAAGCACGATAGAGGGAAGTCTTGGAACGTCTCAATATTATTTCATTTGAGGGATTACAATATTGCGCTTGTTGTATCGGGGCTGTTTACTGCGTGGAAGTATTTAGAATAAAGTTGGGTGAAAAAATCGGGAAAATCCCAGGGAAGTGAATGGTGACGAGCCTCAATACCAACAAGTAATGCCTGAAGGCTTAAACCTCCTTTAGTGAACGGTCCTTTAAGAGTACAAGGATTCCCATAGGATTCTATATTTTCTAATAGGACCTTTAGCTAAAGGAGATTTCTTGCCTAAGCCTTCCAATTGCAGCACGCATGCCTATACTGTTCCTATAGGTGCGCCATCTCCAGTTCTTTTTCTTAGCACCAGTGGTCTCGACATACCTTTCGAATGTGACGTCGTCCATGCTATACCTCTGTATTATTTCTATATTAGCACCCCGGATCGACCTGGCAGGTAAGGATGGAAAGAAACTCGAGCAATTTCTCGCCGGCAGAATGTATTAATATTTATTCCCGGGTTCTCGTCGCGGACGTTAGTGTTGCGGGCACTCGTAGAGGCGGTTGATCTTGAGGATGTCGTTGTCGCTGAAGCCCTCTCGCTGACCGATGTCTCCGAGCTCCGCAAAGATGGGAACGATGGTCGGAATGTCGGGATCGATGGCGAATCCGTAGGGCCCGTAATGCATGACGCTCCCGTAGTCGTATTCCGTGCCAAGGTGCGTGATCTCGTCCAGACTGTATTTTTCGAATGCATACGCCATCCCTGCGTGCCGCGAGGAAATGACGCCGCTTTTAGAGACACGTAAAAGCGGGAAGAGAGGGGAGGACGAACCTCAGACTGACCTTCTTGGATGTTAAACCAATTGATGACGACCCAATCGTCGCGATCGGCCCGACCGTGCTCGTGGTGGAAGCCTACGGCGTGCATGATCTCGTGGAGGACGATGCCGATCTGCAGGAAGCACCGATCCGACAAAAACATCTCTTGGCTTCTTCCCTGGTATCCGACGTAAGAGCTGCAGCTGCATCCCCCGAAGCAAAGCAAATTCGTTGGAACAAAACTGCATCGGCCGAATGGCTAGGGTGTGACTAGCATCGGGTAAGCGCTATCGGTAGGTCGATATTCGCCTCCGTTGGAGAGGTTTTCGTGAAATTATGAATGATAATTTTTTTAATCCTCTCTCCTAGAGGAGATGATCGAGATACAGGGACATGTAAATTTTTCCTACATCCCGAGAATTCCTTCACCCCTGCGCGAATTCCTGGGAGAAAGGATTTCTTAATTTAATATTACGTGGTATCGGGGTCGTGGACGACGTTGATGTAGCCAGCTTCGGAGGTTCTCTCTCGGAATCGGAGACACGTGTTTTCTTCGTAGATGGAGATGGCCTGCTCGAACACCTGCTTCTGTTCTTCGCCTGACGCACAAGAAGGAATTCGATTACACGAAAGGAAGGGTATCTTTCGGGCGGAATCAGAGAAAGCCGGTGGATTGCAACGGTGCATTGCAACGGTGTCCTGCCTTACCCGACCGGGCGGGACACGTGTAGAAAGGACAAGGACGACTTGGTGAATGAGGAAAGGACGCGTCTATTTGCGGTCCGCGGACGAGAAACGACTACGATGCACAGGGGTTCGGACGACGTGAAAAATGGCGCAAAAAGTCGAATATCAAAAGCTTTCGCGTTCAAAAGCGTTCACATGCGCAAGGAGACTACACAGATCCTTCCCCGAAGGCCCCCGAAAACATATATTCTTACAATCTCATCTTGCCATCACTGATTTAACCGGACATGAAGAAAAATTATTCCCTTGATAGGGTTGCTAATGGTGAAAAATGCATAAGTTTGTTCATGAGATCATATTTTTCGTTCGGACTGATGCAGATTAAGTGATATCAGCACTGGTGATGGTGCAATCTTATTTGGTGAAATCAAAATTTAAAAAAATGGTGACTGACTTCAATTTGGTGAAGATTAATTTTGATCTGGTGACGGAGTCAGTATTTCTGCGAGCTGAAAATATTTGGTGAAAAGTTCATTACTATTGGCGGGTGATTAAATATATTTCTTTATAACATGCTTGCACCATTATGGTGCCGCATTATGGGCATATTCTGCCGGTTCCTGACGATATCTCCGTACACTTCCACAAGTTGCCGATGAATTTCGTCCGCTGACACGTTCTTCGCACTCGAAAAACGGACAACACTGCGAAGTTCCTCGCGCGACCATGTTCCCAAGTGAGTCGCCGACTGCCACTGCTCATGTCCTACGGCTCAGGGCTTGACTCTCAGCTCTGAGTCGCCAACAGTGCACTTGCGAATTTGCCTATCATGTTGTTATCGGTCACAGCTCCCCGATTTCTGTACCACAGGCCTTGTCTTGTTATTTTCCGATCATCTCTAGTATTTGTTGAGATGAATATTAATTAAATATCGTCTTGGAAGTGTGATGGACTCTAATATTTTATTTCAAGCTCTCAATTATTATTTTTAAATGGCAAATTCAAGTAAGCACTTGATATAACATTTACATCTAATATATATGAACGATCGTGAGGGGCTGACGCTAATTCTAACCATGGTCTCGAGAAGTTAGAAAGCTGAAACTTGGTGCACAATTATTTATTACAAACAACTATTGGGATTCAGAGTTCAGGAGAAATCAGACTTTGGAGGTACATTCCATGGGGCATACATTTTTTTTTGGGGGGGAGAGATGTTTTAAAATATATTTATTTGTTTCTGTCAAATGGAGAGACATAAAAAGCTGAAACCTGACAAGAAGGTGACTACTGAAACATTGAGTTCTGGAAAAGTGCCGAAGTATGCTAATACAATTAATGTTTTTAGTTGCGAGGTTTATCCCGAAGGACTTTTTCCTTATGGGATTTTCTACCAAAGATATTTTCGCTGCAAGAAGCTTCATAGGGAAAAAATAGAAAAATGAAATTTGGCCATATTTTAGTTCTTGGGATACATATTGAAGGAATTTTTCTATCAATATATTTTTAAGGTACATCCCCGAAGGAGCCTTATTCTTTTCAAACACATGTCGTTCTCCCAAAACGGAGGCATAGAAATTGAAACTTAAGCAAATATATACATGCACAATTGCATATGTAGGAACCAAATACTTTTTCGAGATATATCCTCTTTGGCCAAATACATATATATATATTTTATTATTATTATTTTTTTTGGGGGGAGGGGGGACATTTTCCTTGGAAATTATTACAGCAAGGAGGCAGATATGGAAAAATGAAATTCCTTTTAAAATATCTAGAAATTATTATCCTAGGGAAATTGCTGTTTTTTTTAGCTCTATATCAACACGGCAAACATATTTTAAAGCAGTGCATTTCCAAAAAAGGGCAACCTTAAAGAATTCGAGCCGGTATAGACGGATAAGATACGATTCAGATGTATCTTCCGGATCGTCTGTTTTAAGCGATTTATCTAGAGGTAAAGGAGATATGTCTTACTAGAGGGTTGCCTCTTGATTTCTCTGCAAAAGAAGGAATCATTTATGAGGTATGTAACCCTTCCAGCGTCGCTTCGAGTGAATTCTCGTCATGCGGCCGCACATTTGCCAGGATTAACAGGCCACGCAGCTGTAAGTTTAATGGAAGGGTGTGTGAGAGGATTATTAAAGACAAACCTTTCTGCCAAAATAATTTCTTGTCAATTAATGTTGTCACAATGTTGTCACGCCAGAAGGGATAAGATGTCACAATATAGAGGAAAATGTTGTGACGACATGGAAAATGAGGACATTTAGATGTTGCTATAATGCTTTCGATTACATTGGCACAACATTCCATATGTTGTGGTACAATATTTCCACAATGTTTTCATTATATGTTCGTGATACCTGGGTATCAGGCCCGTGAAGTTCTCCTAGGAATTATTAGGCTTCCTGCTCCGGGGATTACTTCCTTTATTCTCTCATCAGCGAGAAAACTGTGTTGAAAATTTGGGAACACCCCATGGAAGTGAATGAAGGGGCAGCTGCCACGATACCAAATAATATGCTGATTAATGCAAAAAGCCCACCTCAATACGCGCCGTCTCCAGTACTATTTCTTAGTTCAGTGCCTCCCGTTTGCGTTTTTTAAAAAAGACATTAAATGGACCTGCAGGGGGAAAAATGAAAGGCTATCGTCACGACTCACGACCACTATTTTCCATTCTTAGTGCTTAGGAAATAGCTTTCGGCAGCCGGAATGATTCCGGCTAAAAGAAAATTTCTGAGACGCGGCCCTTCCTCGTCCACGAATGCAAGCATACTGGGATGGGGGGAAAGATCTGCACGTGGATTTAGTTCTATGAGCAAGATTCCAGAGATCGTACTGAAGGAAGATGAGAGTTGGTATACGACGATTCCGTCTGGCCATAGAAGGTTCGGATCCAACAGCGCGTTTCTCATCTGAAATGGATCCGTATTCTCGACGAGAGCACTGGGAAAGGGATCCGCTATTTTCTCTGCGGGAAACTCACGGGATCTCCGCCGGGGAGGGTCATGATGTCGCCTTGGAAGTAGGGTCCGGTCATGTCGGGTGTGACCTCGGGTCTCTCCGGTTTCTTTTCGGCGACCGGGTGAGCGGCCGACAGAGACGAAGAGACGAGGAGAAGCAAGGCCCAACCCAGGCCCAGCCCCATTTGATCCCGCTGAGTTTTCATCTTCTTCCTGAATCCTGCACTACTGCCTCCGTACGGTAAAATCTTCTTTTATAAACGATTCGGAGGGGGGGAGGTGGGAAAACGCCTGCTGTTCGACGAACAGAATGCGAGTTGGGGATTTCCCTGCGATTTTCACACATTTTTTGGCGCCTCCATTCCCGCACTGGCTTCGAGATAAGCTCCGGCCCCGCCGAGGGGAACGTTCCCTCGGAGCCGCGCTTCGGAACGGATGACCGTTCCCAAGAGAACCTCTTCTGGACGCCCTCGACAAAGCTCATCTTGTTCCATGGGATCATGTCTATATCCGAGAGGGATCAGATTACTCATGCTGTCCCAATTGCGATTACTTGAAAATTCGCCGGGAAGGCTCTCGCTCCCTTCGAGAACAGAATCGTTCCGACCGGATCTTCATCTGAAGGGGATTGCAGCTCGGTGTGACTTTTCTCTGTGACGTTTGCTGGGGACTCGTGAAACGTCGTCGAGGATGGAAAAGAATAAGAGAAACGAAAGCGTGGAGGATTACTCCGAGGGAGAGTGAGGAAAACGAAGGTCGGGATCCTATCCTCGTTCCCAGGCTTCCTCCACTTCTACGAAAGGTATCGAAAGCGATTGTCACTACACTGTAAAAGAAAAAAAGATAAAATAAAATAAAAAAAAACAATGTAAATGCCTTCAAAGCCTGAAAAAACACATGGAAATGCATTTCCATGCCTTTAGACTCATCTAAGGTGACAATTGATGGTTCCTACTTGCGTGCCTGCCAAGGTGGCGGTAGTGCCTAGATGTGTTGAACGATCATTTTCGCCTCCCACTGCAGACTTCTATAACGCCTATAATCACTTTGAAACACCACAGAAGAGGGTTGGAGATGTTTGGATGTTGAAATAGCTTGTTCTTTGTCATTTGCGATGGACCTCGAGGACTAGATCTGTTGTAATATAGGCATGCGATGATCATTTAAATGTGCTGTTGCATTAGTCTGTAGCATTGGCTCAACAATCCTGGCAAAGCAGGCGGGAAACCCGAGACTTATTCAGAAAGAGAGAATCTACAGTCGAGACGGAAATGTTATGTTCTCAGAACTGACTTTGAAGTGGAGACAAATTGAGAGGAGACGGTTCCAAAATTATTCGCGTTTCATCGGCCACTGACGACATCTGCCATGCACCTATAACGATGGGGGTTGTCACCTTCCTATTTCTTTTCTTGGGGGTGAGAGAAACGCTTGGGAGTGCTAGAGAGAAATTCGAAAGGAAATCGAGGTAACAATGAAAGGGAAAGAAAGTGAAGGAACCTTTGGTGGTCCCCATCCATATTCGAATAATTTATTCATCAATTTCTTTTATATTCAACTTTCATCACGCGTGGTGCCATAAGAGTGATGAAGGGGGTGGGGCGGAAATGCCAAACCATAATGGGTTTCATTTAATAGCAAGGCACTTCATTGTGCCACATACTTTACATAAATGTCATATTTCCCTGATACGTTTCGCCAAGTAGCTAACTGTCGGTCCTTTATCTCCAATATCTCAACCTCTTAGGCCACGAATCCCATAAAAACGAGAAATGAATCACGTGTTTGAACAATATCCATCTGAAGCATTTTTAGTTGTTGGGTATTCAGTGATTTTTTTTTGGCAAAAATATATGTTTAGTACAAGTCCAAATTACGGATTAAACCATTATACTTCAGTCAAAGTTTATCCAGTGACCCTTACTCATCCCTCCTTGAGTGTATTGCGTCATACAGTAGTACCCGAATGCCTCGAATGAAATTTGAGTGGAATGAGACCAACTGATTATTTCCATATTCTGTATTCTTCCAATGGATCCTCTCTTCATATAATATAGACTCACCAAGGCGTTATTGCGATGTTGATCCTGAAGGGGATATCAGCCCTGGATCCCAATACAATTCGAGAATAATTCTCTCCTGAACTCGAGTCGATTGGCCTGTTTTTCCACTCTGATAACCATTTTTTTCCCCGTTTCACTGTTAAGCCAGAGCCAATTGGCTCGGCTTTCACTATTAGAACAAAACCCCCAATGTCCTCTCCAACTGTAAGAATGATCTACTTTGGTCCCCTTGTTTAATTCCGAGAGTTGTAGCAAGGCGCTGAAATGGGTCGCCAAGGCTAATGCCATGGCGAGTCATTCATTACTTCAGATTATGCACACAGTTTATGAGTAATAGACAAAATATGGACATCACATCAAATATGGATATTTTCTCCAAAATATGCAGCTATGTATTTTATTTTCATTTGCAAGTGAATGACCACAACAGCGACTGAAATAGAAACGAGAAAGATCTGATGCAGCAGGTTAGAGGTTAAGAAAAAAAAAACCAGACTGATGGTGGGACAAAGTAGGAAGTGGGAACATATGAACAAGAGAGCCCGTTAAAAGACAGAGGCCATATAGAAACTTATGAGCATCTCCGGTGGAATGTGCAGACCAGGAAGTTCGCCCTCAAAAAAATTCATTGGTATTCTTCATGACCGCATTGATCCTGGAGGCTTATGCGATAGTTCATTTACTTAATCGTTCAAGCTTGCGTGCCAGCGCCAGCGAGCATGTAACACATGCTGACAACTCCAGGTAGCCGCCATGTTGGAACGGTGAAATCGTTCTTTGATTGGTGGGATGGAATTGCAAAGACGCAGGCCGGACCCGCTCGTGATGTCCTTGGATGTCCTTGGATGTCCTTGGATGGAGTCCTCTCTACCTTGAGGCCTTCAATCTGGCCTGACATCTAGCAATTCATTTGATAAATATGCAGTTCCCACTATACAAGCGAGGTAGCGCTATTCCCGCTGCTTTTTGTCTCCCAAATCCCCAAATGCAAATGCATGGATTTGTAGAAGTTTTCATTCTCTCCAGAAGTGAAAATTTTCATTAAGCAAGACTATCTTGCATCAACAAAAGTTTTGGGTCTTGTGTCTTCTTATTTTCTTTTTTCTTTTTCACGTCCTAATGGAAGGAGAAAATTAAACTCATTAAATTAGACTGCAGACTGCAACAGAGCATGATGCTTATTATCATTGTCACGTTCACATTTTATACAATGGCCAAGGAATATCCAACAATTTGGGCATGCCGACCTTCGATTCTTGACAAGTTTCCCATTTCCTATTATATGTCGCACCGTTTCGGGTCAAGAAGCATGGATAAACTTGGCGTTTAGTTGTCTTCTCCTGAAGAGAATCATATCCCTTCAGGTTATACCTTCTTTCTCTCAAATTCACCCAGTCAGTTCTTGATCGATTTAATCAGTGAAAATGGAAAAATATTCTCTCAAGAGGTGCGGTGAAAATTTCGCAGTTCGGTTGCATTGCATTGCCAATTCGAATTACCATTAATTACAGAGTACTTGGCTGTTGCGTTAGAGTTGGGCTGAGAGGGGAGACAGGGTTAGCGGAGATTATGGCAGAATTTGCGTCAGGATTATCGTATATCAGACCCACGTCACCCTGGAAACCATGGATGCTTCATAATGACAACGCGTGATGACAGAGAACGCAAATTCGTATAGGGAAGAGAGGCTTTCCTGTCGATGAATCTCAGAAAGGTTTAAGCATAGCAGTTTAAGCATAGCTCGACTTCTGATAGAACATCAGTGCCAATATCGATGGCCATTGCCACGCCACGAAGCAGTCTCATTCTGTCAACATAATTATAGTTCTCATATGCTATTAGTCTGTTGGCATAAGCCCTTTATGAATAAGCATGATTCACAAAGGGGCTAGGGATTTACCTGTGATACTCAAGACGGAGTTTCTGCTGCGTAATATGTTCCCAGAATATGCTATTTAATCACGACATGTATTCTCAAGGTAAAGGCAATAAATGGATTAATGGGATAATCAATGGAACGGCAACTAACGGGGTAAAAGGGATATTTACCATGCAGGTAGCTTATAAATTAACTAGAGAGTTTGTTTGCCCTTCGGGAAAAAAAAAACTCGCTATGGTCGAGCCTTCGGCGCTCATTGTTCAGCCTAGTGATCCATTACTTTATTTTTGAAGTGGAAAAAACGTACGAAAAGTATGTGGCTGTCGGAATATGTGACATGACGAACCGATATTTTTCGTGAAATAATTACTTCTTTTATTCCTTGTGTGCATAACTTCAAATCGCTTTATAATCTGCCCTGAGGGGACATATTTGAAAAGTTGGATAAACAGTCAAATATCAAACTGGTACTTCAGCTCCAAGTTTGAACTTATTTCATTCTCTCTTTTTCATTGGATCAAAAAAGATTCGAGGTAATTCGGCTTTTGCAAAAAAAAAGTGCATTCAGGGGTTTTACAAACAAATTAATATTTTTAATGAAATTAGTATTTGGCAAACTAGGTGCCTACCAGGGTTCAGCCTTATCCGTTTCCTCTTTGCGCTGATGCAAAAATATCTTTGGAAAAGCCGGCCCAGCCAGAAGCCTTAAGGATATGCATCACCTAAGTTGATTTTTTTCTGAATTTTTCTTCACCCCAGTTAAGTATGAGGCAAGTTTCACCTTTCTATTTCTGCCAGGGCTATTTGCTAGGACAAAAAAAAAATTGAAAACGTCACCCTAAAAAAAAATGCCCCTATGGGGATGTATGAAAAACATCACATTTCTCCTGAACACCTTGGCTCAGTAGTGACATTCATGCAAAGTTTAAGCTTTCCATGTTCATCCGTTTGACTGAAGCAAAACAGCTTTCGGAAAATATCTCCCCTTACATGTTTACCCCAGGGCGTTTACCTCAAAAGTGAGAATTTTTCTGATCTTAGCACCCCAATAGTCCGCGTTCACGCACTTTCAGGCGCCTTCACGCTCTCGCTCTCAAGCGTCTTCACCTGCCTTGCCTGGGAGTGCCGAAATCGAGGAGGGTTTGTTTATACGCGTACCGGAGGTTGGAATCCAAGCCTAAATTATCCACAGCTAATTTCACTTTTCATGGCGAAATGGTGCATCGAAAACAACCAAACGGCAACTATTCGTTATCTACGAGTCAATATCTTTCTTATGGTTGGTCTTTTTCCTCCGAA